TATATCTTTGTGAATAATATTTTGATGAAACTGTTTCCATCATTTTCAGTCATGATATAGCAATGTCACAATGATACCCAGAGCAAGGAACTGTGTCAAGGAACACTGGGTTATAAAAACTTTATAAACTTCATAGCAATCACTAGTTTTTACTGTTGTTCTGGACAATAAAGAATGTGCTGCCAAAGCCCATTTTACAAAAATAAGAAAGAATAAAAACACAACTCAAATTTAAGTGCATCTGATCTTTCATGCTTCCTTAGAGAGCTATAAAAAGTGTGAAAAAATGGAGGCACTGGTCTTAGTTGAAGAGACAAGGTGCATATAAATTAAATTTCTACCACAGCTTTCCCTCCTTCTTCCCATCTATGTCTTCTTCTTACTCCTCAATTCTGACTTTTTTTTTAATATTTATCTTTTAGTTATCGTCGGACACGACATATTTGTTTGTATGTGGCGCTGAGGATCAAACCCGGGCCGCACACAGGCCAGGCAAGCACGCTACCACTTGAGCCACATCCCCAGCCAGAATTCTGATTTCTTTAAGAAATTTTATGTGATTAAGACTTCATGGGTGGGAGGAGCCTTCCATTGGATTATTTAGTACATTCATATATTTCCTCTCTTCACTGAAATTATTATTTATGACTTATTCAACTCTGGCCTTGGGGACCTAGGGATACAAATATAAAACAGGTGAGGGCAAAAGTTCATAGACCACAGTAGAAAATGAGCACTACTTATATGCAGGGCTAATGATCAATGGTTACATACTGGCCCAGCTCTACCTGCTGAGAAAATGTTGGTTGTACTTCTGTATTGATGATAAATCACTGCTTTTCTGAGGCCCCAGGTGAACCTTCACCAACTTCCTTCCTGTTGCCCCACCGTTTTTTTTTCTCTCTAGACCTTTCTCAAATCTAGCAACTAAGGATTAACACCTCTTGTCCAAAAGTTGTGTCTACAAGTCCAGCTCTAGACTAAGTCAGCACCCTTTCTGATTGGTCAATACCTGTGCCATATTGGACTTCAAATATTGATTTTTTCATATCAGTTTGATATTTTTATTTAAAAATATGATATGATATATATATTTGACTATCACCCCTATAACAAGTATAAGTAACTATAAGACTCAGAAAATGATGCATGCTGGGACTGGGGTTATGGCTTGGTGGTAGAGTGCTTGCCTAACATGTGAGGCACTGGGTTGAATCCTCAGCACCACATAAAAATAAATAAATAAAAATATTGTGTCCATCTATAACTAAAAAATTTTTTAAAAGAAAAGAAAAAAGAAAATGATGCGTGCCAAGTTGGGTGTGATGGTACATGCCTGTAATCCCAGCTACTTGGGAGACTGAGATAGGAAGATCACAAGTTGGGAGGCCAGCCTGAACAACTTATTAAGATCCTGTCCCAAAATTTAAAAAGGGCTGGGAATGTAGCTCAGTAGCAGAGCATCCCTGAGTTCAGTCCAATATTGGAAAGAAAAAAAGTGATAGATGTCAAAGGAGAGCTACTAATCAGCTGCAGTATGAGGCATGGAAAAGGAAATATTGTACTCCATAAGGACATAAGGAGAAATTTTGAAAGACTTTTGAGCTTTTGATATCCTGAGTGTTTGGACAGGTTGAAAAAAGGAGGTCATCACTGGCATACTAAACAACATTCTTTTATTCTCCTTCATCTATTCATTTAGCAACATCTTCTGGGTGTTCATCATTAAGGTGCCATACAATATATTTAAGAGCTAGAATTTCAGAATCAAACAGTTTTAGGTGAATCCAAGTTTTATCACTTAATACCTGTGTGACTTTGGTCTAGTAACCTACCTCTTAGTACTACATATATAATGGGCATAATAATAGAACCTACCTGTTAGGGTTATCTAAGAACTGAGAATTCAATGAGTTCATAATTGAAACAATGGTTCTCAAACCTTTAGTTCATATCTGAATCACCTGGAGGGCTTGTTAAAACACAGATTTCCAAGCCCCATCCCCAAATTTCTGATGTGAGAATTTGTATTTTAGACAAATTTGAGGTGATGCTCTCACTGCTGCTCTAGGACCATACTTTGAGGAACACCGATCTGAAATGTTTAGAACAATGCCTGGCACATAATATGCTCAATGTAGATGTTGACCATTTATACCTTCATTCTGTATCCTTGACTGTTTAATCTGTACCAGACATTGTGCCTAGACACTGGATACAAATGAGATGAAGATGTGATTCCTCCTCTCCAGGGGCGTCACGGTGTACTAGAGAGTTACTCCTTAAATAAAATAAATCTAACATTGTATGTACTAAAATAACATGTAATGTACAAGAATATCTTAACTAGTTTGATGCATTTATTATACTAAATGATTATGGTTATATCTGATGTTTTAGAAATTGACTTAAGCTCTTAGATAAATAGTATTTACATTATTTTTCAGTTTTTAATATTTTATAACTTCTCTCAGGTGATTTTGTGCTTGTAGGGAATAAGATTTTAAAAGTAGTTTAAGTAAAGTCAAGTTGGATTACCTAGAGATTCTTAGAATATGTGCTAGTAGATGATTATTTACAGTTATGAAATTTTGGGTGATTTTTACATTGTTTTCCTTGTGCTGTATGTATGCTATGCTTGAATTATTCAAATAATTATGTAAATTTTTATATAATTATTATTTAAAAGATGATATATTTATCTCTTTACTCCCATTCTCAGTTCCCCACCATTGCAAATCCCTGTCCCAATTACATTCTTTCAGAAACCTGAATCTGATCATGTCATTCTTTTACCTAAACAATATCCAGGGCTTTTAAAATAAAG